CCTTACAGAAAATTCATTCCCTCTCTCCTTCCCCGGCATATCCAGGCGAAGGTTCTCTTGTGAATTGTGCCGATTCGCAGAATGTCTTCCCTCCAAAAACCTCAAGAAGGAGTGTTCCTGCTTTAGATCTTTTGCAGGGCAAGAGGAGATGTTTTTTTTTCCGGCACGTGTGAAAAATTAACAACGATAATCATCTTCTCAGCAGCGGATAGCATGCTCCACGGGGGGCCTCCCAGCCCCCCACCTCCCTTGCTCAGCAAAGGACCCGCCACTAAAACGTATGCTGAACAGGAAGGTTCAAGGGCTGGGCGCGTGGCAGGTACCAGGGCAGCAGAAACGGCGTCTTCATCTTCAGAGCCCAAATGCTGAGGATGCCCACAAAGCCAGGGATGTAATATATTCAAGAAGACCTAAGGGTTTACTTTTCAATAAGGATGGAAAACATCTGACGCCCCTCTGTGAGCTCATCGTCATGCGGCTTCATATGAAAAGTTGGTAATTAGTCCCTGAGTGAATCAAGCAGAATAGATGAGAGGCCGATACTTGAGGAGCAACAGAAACTGCTTGGCCAGTCATCAAAATTTAAAGGCTATCGAGAAAGGGCTCAGGAAAGTGCCTGTTTACAATGTTCAACCCAGAATGGGTAATGATAGGCTTCATTAGCTGGTGTTTTAAACTGTGTTCAAATGAAGCTTCTGTACGTTTCCAGGGAGCACGCGATGTGCCAAACGCAGGCATAAGACGCCACTGAAAAACCAGGGGGACTCGGGTGTCAGGACCCACCTGGTCCACCAGCTGGCTCTTCTAAAATCCAAATGGGGTGCAACTTAATAATGGAACTAAACGGGAATCAAAAACATCTGTTTCTGAGGTCTCCAAAACATATAGTCATTCGTCCAGATTTTATTTTTTTGTATCATTTAAGGTCAGTTCATTGGTGAATTTGCATGTGTCCGTCCCCAAGTAGGCCAGCTCCCGGCCACTCTCGGTGTGGACGGGTTTGGTTTGTAGGAGAGATGTCCCAGGGAACGTGGTTGCGATTTTTAAATATGCATGTTTAAATTCTCATGATAGGGTGTAAATCTGCAGAAAACCCAGTTCCTTGAGTACCAAGGGAGCACGCTTACTTTTATGACTCTTCCTAAAACGTGGATACAAGGGAAAATTCCAGGTCTTCTAGGTCCCTACGAACCGTCTCGACCATGGCGGGAACACCAAGGTTCTGGACTGGAGACGAGAGACTCAGGAACGAGGGACCCAGTTCAGGTACAAACACTAGCACCTGTCCCTTAACGGAAACTGACCGGGAGAACGCTCGTTGGAGAACATGTAAATCAAGACTTAAATTCAGATCACAGCAGGGTTCACAGAGGGATTCTTCAAAGAGAAGACACGGTGACATTTAAAATATGTTATTTCAGGGACAGCTCTATTATATACATCAATCAATTTTCTAAAGCTGGCTTTGAGTGAGGGAAAGAAAGGAAATTGACTCACGGGACGGTTACCGTAATAGGTCTTATACTTGCGTCAACCCTGGACGAGGATGCCGAGAACAGGGGGCAGACATTGTCTTCTCCGGGGAGTTTGGCCTCACAGAGCATTGTCCTCACCCCACCTGGACAGGTAATAAAACAGTGCCAGCTGCCATGGGGGGACACACAGCTGAAATTCAGCTAAAGCAGAACTACGTGGTCAGGATACAAGCATGTTTATTACAGAGATCGAGGAAGGGAGAGGGAGGGAGAAACATTGCCGGGTGTGGCTCAGTGGTTGAGCATCGACCCTGCACCAAGAGGTCGCCGGTTTGATTCTCAGTCAGGGCACATGCCCAGGTTGTGGGCCCGATCCCCAGTGGGGGGCATGCAGGAGGCGGCCAATCAGTGTTTCTATATCTTCCTTCCTCTCTTTCTAAAATCAATAAAGAAAAAAAAAATTTTTTTTTAAGAGAGAGAAACATCGATGAGCTGCCTCCTGCACGCCCCCTGCTGGGGATGGAGCCCGCAACCCAGGCACGTGCCCTGACCAGGAATCGAACCGGGACCTCTCAGTCCATGGGACAAAACTCAGTCCACTGAGCCACACCAGCTGGCATCTTTTTTTCTTTTATAAGCTTACAGCTTAAATACCAGGATTTTGCCACCAAATTACAAATCTTTTGAACAGACAGAAGCAAAGTAGACATTCAGTGAGTAAGTACCTTTGGGCAATGATCCGTATCACTCCTGTTATATTCAATGATAAATTCGCAGAAGTAGCTGTGTGGACAGTTAATTCAGTGAGTTCAACCCAGATGGACTTGAGAGAAAAACTATCTCTGGCCTGTATCTTTTCCTTCAGGAGAAAACGGAATCTATTTTTAAACTTTGGGGAGAAAGGTGCTAGTTTGGACCATTATGTACAGAAATCATCCAGGGGGTGCTGACCTGAAGACTTTGATCTTTGCGCAGTAATAGCAAGTGAATAAGCTAGAACTGGATCCGTCCTTTGGCTTATGTTTATTGGTCGTTGTTTTGTTTTTTTTAAGTTAACAGAGTGGCATGATTTCTCAGAGGCGGTTGAACCTAGTTCTCTAAAAAACACATTTATCAGGAAAAGAAAGCTTCGAAGACAACTTTCTAAAAAGACTATTATTCGTGTGTCTTCCATTTTCCACTGTGCGAATTTCTCCATCCTCCCTTTTAACCTCGTGGCCACTGCTGGCTTTTTCTTGCTTGTGAGTCTGTCTTTCCCGGGAACCAATATCATCCTCCATTTCGGGTTTTTTTCCTACAAATGTGTTTAAATCCCGACAACACTGGACGTTGCTTCTTTTCTGTATTAACTTCTTCATCGTATGTAAGAGAGAAAGCTGAGTTCGGTCTTCCCGAAGGTGGATGGGGGGCAAAGGGGCCGCATTGGAGCTCGTCAGAATTCAGGGGAGCAGGTGCTCCGTTACCTGGGGTTTGCCGTGATGTGCATGAAGGGCGTGGTCCGTAGCCAGGCGAGCCTGTGGCAGGGTGACGGGTGGGGCAGAGGACCACGCCGAGGTGGAGGCGAGTTTTTCTGTCTCGGACCCGGGTTCGACACACCCAAGGGGTTTCCAGTTGTTTCCATTGTAACACTGGACCAAATGTAACTAGTACTTGTGTTTTTAAGTAATGTATAATAATGTTCAAATATTTTCAATAAGACAGATGGGAAATGCTTTAACCGGGAAGCACCACATGTATGATAGGTCAGGTAGACGCAACCTGGCTGCCAGTTTAAAGTCCAGTGTTCCTGCCAGTATGGCATTTGCCATCATTTCATTAGTAAATACTGTCTATTTTTTTTTTTTATCCTCACCTGGGGACCTTTTTTTTTTCTTCGCATTTATCTTCAGATAGAGCAGGAGGAAGAGAGAGAGAAACATCGATGTGAGAGAGACACATCGAGTGGCTGCCACCCACATGACCCCAACCGGGGCCAGGGACAAACCACAACCGAAGTACGTGCCCTTAGCAGGAACCGAATCCAGGACTCTCTGGTCCGCGGGCCAGTGCTCCAACCACTGAGCCAAACCGGCCAGGTCAACACTGACTGTTTTTCATTCTCCCATTTCACCTTGAGACACATATGATAGCCAAGGCTCCAACCAGCTCTGTGTTCCAGTACCAAGTCTTCGCAGCATTCAGGTGGGGGCAGAGACTTGGGGGTGCACAAGGGGACATGTTTAACGCAGAGTTGTGGCCCAGATGTAAGCGTGGAAATCATCGTGGGCGCATTTCACCAGCAAATGCACGGCAGCCTCGCTGGGAAAGCACCCCGAGGTCCCAGGGTGCACCTGCACCTGGATGCAGGCTGCGTCTCACAGCCTCAGGGGCCTGAAATGCTGGCGAGGAGTTACTATGGTAACTGAGCTGAGAGTGGTCCATTTAACCTTTGAGTCCCAGTCTTATGTGGTTTCCTTCAGAATCGTTCTTATTTTTGTCCAATTAGAAAATAAAGTGGGGGCCGGGGGGGGGGGGGTCTGCCTCCTGAGCAGGGTGTGTGTGTAAACACACATCTCTGTTTCTCCCAGACTCTTCTATAAATACATTGTATAAAAGCTGTGGTCAACTTCAGAAGAGACATTCCGATGTAACCATTTTCCCTCGCCCACAGTCTGTGTATTTGTACCTTGGTCTTTTTCTGCACCCTGGGCCTCCCTGGCATTCAGTGTGTATAAAAACCTCTTGGGCAGCAGATGCCTTGAAATAACGGGACGGTCCCCTGGAGTGAGCCCGGATGAGAGGCAGTGTCATCGTCCCTTCTGACCTAGGACGAAAAGCAAAGTCTCAGACTTGAGAGGCCGCATTCGGGCGAGAGGTGCCGGCCACCCCGGCTGGTGTTCTGCGCAGCGGACAGGCTCTCATTTGATGAAGATCATTAGTCACCGCGGTCGGTTTCAGAGCGTCCCCGGTAGCCAGCCTCCGTCAGCAGTCACTGGAGTGTACCAGATGGGCCATTAGCATAGGCCCGACAAGTCGGAGGCCTTCACAGTCATTTAGAAAATGTCAAACAGAAACAAGAACCCTGTCACTTTTTATTAGAATTAACTACATCAGACGCTGGACACAGATTTCACCTTGGGTCAGAAAAATTAATACAAAATTACATGAATTGTGCACGACACTGGGTTCAGATCGGTCTCCCTCCGGGGACTCATTGCCGCCGATATAATGATCCCTCTCTGTGCGGAACCCTCGGCCTCCCTTTTGTACCATATGAAAGGCGCTGACCTTGCTCCAAACCCACTGGTGTCTAATTGATGTGCGTCGGTGCAGAATTTCCACGGGATGCTCCTCCCGGGCCCTGTGCGGTCCTTTGCGGGGGCAGCGGGCTGAGCCGGGCTGCGGACCTCTCGCAGCGAAGGGCAAGTGCTCTCTGGGCGGGGGGAAGGCCTCGTGCACCGAGTGCGCGGCTTTGGCCCACAGACATGCAACCCCACTGACGCCGTGTGCCTGTGTTCTTCTTTCTCTCTTTCTCTTTCAATCCAGATGTGAAAAACCTCGAGAACTTCCAGCTGGTGGAAGGGGTCCAGGAACAAGTGAACGGCGCCCTGCTGGAGTACACGGTGTGCAACTACCCGCAGCAGGCGGAGAAGTTCGGGCAGCTCCTGCTGCGGCTGCCCGAGCTGCGAGCCATCAGCATGCAGGCGGAGGAGTACCTGTACTACAAGCACCTGAACGGGGACGTGCCCTACAACAACCTGCTCATCGAGATGCTGCACGCCAAGAGGGCCTGAGGGCCCCCCGGCGCCCGCTTTCCAACAGAAAGAAACCGGTGGGGGGAGGGGGGAGGACAGGAAGAAAGAAAGAAAAGAAAAAAAAAAATACTCTGAACTGCTCCGAGCAACCCTAGTTAAATACTTTGTGTAAAGGGATGGAATTTAAAAAGGCATAATAATCAAATCCTTAATAGCGAATAAATGATGTATCAGGGTATTTGTATTGTAAACTGTGAATCCAAAGCTCCGTGTCCCCAGAGCAGTCCCCGTGGGAGACACTGTCCCAGAGTGGGCGGACCGCTCACATGGATCCCAAACCCACATCAGAGTGAAAACGGACTGAATGATTCTTGTATATTTAAACCGATCTCCGCTATGAAGAAACTGAGGAACTGGTCCTGTGTGGTTCCGTAGGCTGCCACGGCGGGGGATCTGAGCTTGCAGAACTCCTCCTGCACCAAGAGGGGCTGAAACAGGCCCGAGAATCCATCACTACACCTGGAAACAGCCCCCCCTTCCCTTCGAGGACCCAGCACCTTCTCCTGCGGAATCCGCACCGTCCGAGGACTCGGCCACGCCCAGTGGGAATTCCTCCAACTCCCGAAAAGCCCAATTGTGAACGCCTGTGTCTGAGACCTGCAAACAGCTAGTAAGCGCAGTCTGTGAACACGTTAGCTTGCCATTGAAACGATGTCCGGTTTGTTCTGTCATGTGCTCACAGTGTTAGGAAAGAGAAGAGCAGGCCGTACGCCCCGTCTGGCCTGCGGTAAGGATTCATGCACACTGAGCAAAGTCCCCACGAGCGTCCGCAGCCCCCGCACCCGCCACTGCAACGTGGCGATGGCATGGTCGTATTTCATTTTTCGAAAATTATTTTTTTGGCCAAAAGTCTTGTTAGGGTACAACCGTCTTTTTAAGCATCCAAGCTTGTAGTTCATTTAAAAATAAAACTCACAACCTATGTTGCTGGGGTGCCTCATAGGCAAGCAGGAAAGACAGGATGAGCTGGTGACCTGATCCACTCGATCAAACATTTCTACCCCCCTCCCCCGTGATCAAAATAGAAACTGAATTTTTTTTTCTTTTTTTTTTTTAATGTGTGACTGGAAAGGTATTAGAGTGATTTAGATCTTCCCCAGAAGGGTAAGGGGGACAGAGTGACCCCGACCTTTCCAAGCCATAGACCAAAGTCCGGAGAACATTGGAGGGCAAAAAAACTGCCCACAAACCATCAGTGTTATCACCATGCAAGGCCACAGGCTGGAAGTCTTGCCTTATTTCACAATTCTGAGAGGTAGCTGAGCACGTGCAGGTATGAATCAACACGTACAACGAAGTATTAATACTTTACAGTCCAATAAAATATAGTGTTTACATTCTTTAGGTCCTGTGGGGGCAGGGGGGGCAATCATGATATGACCAAGTAGCTATAGCAGCAATTTCCTTCATGTTATTTTTCTGATTGGTAATTATTTTTAATAGTACTTAACTGTCGTATGTCGTGAGACTCTAAAATCAAACACCGGAATCTCATTTAGATGTTAATTGTTTTGAGAAGATCGGCGGCACAATCACTTGTAGACACTGTAAAAAAGTAATAATAATAAAAGTATCTCCTAGTCCCTTAAGTTTTTTCATAAATGTTTCTGGCTTTGGAATAGTTTATTTATATTGTATATCATCGTTTCAACTGTAGACAATGATGATGCTAATTTATTGTTCCTTGGTCTCACCTCTCTGTAAGATGTAGCCAAGACTGAAGAAACCAAATATATGTGTTTACTGTAGCATGTCTTCAAGTTCGTGGGACACATCAGGGGCAGAGAAGGGTCTTTAATGAATTAAAATCATTCACTTGATTAAATGTCTGTAAATCATCATGATTTCTGTAGTTTATTTGATAGCTATTGTAAATCATGTGGCTGGTCGCTTTCTGTTGTCAAGTGAATTGCACAGGGGTGGAGTCCTACCTGGTTTGCTTTCCAAGCATTGCAAGTTGTAAACCAAAGATATTAGTTATGTGCAAAGAGGGTTATTTTATTGTTTTTATTAATCACCTCTAATCCTCGTCCACATGAAGGGTCCACATGGCAGAGGAGTGGTCCCAGTGGAGACCATTAGGAGATTGTCGGGGGACAGTTATTTGCAGGGTCTTGACCATTGCAAAAAAAAAAAAAACACGTTTTCTTAGTTTAAATATACAGTATACTCCCCAATGCATATGTAACTTAAAAAAAAAAAAAGTGAAATATTAGTAAGTTGTTAACCCAATAAATCACACCGTGGGCGACACCGAGTTCCATCCACACTGCTGGGGGCCCATCCGGAGCTGACAGGTGACCCTTTCTCCAGTGTTCATTGCTCACCTGTGTACGCAGACATCTCCTTAGCAACGGCCAGTCAATGTCAGGACTCGTAAGGAAAAGCAGACTCTCCCAGAAGGGTTACAGCCTAGCCCGCCCGGTCACTGGTGGTCTGTGTTTGTAAACGGACAACGTGTAACGTCCGTCGATCTGTACCAAGGTCTCCAGCATCTCGAACCCGCGTCCAAGCGGCACTTAGAGGGTGGAGCCTGTTACTCGTGGACACTTTCCTACTGTGTCAGTGACATACACATGGTCATGTCCATTCTTGCCGGAAATTTCTCAACCAAATGGAATTTTTTTTTTTTAGTATTTCAATAAACATCGGAATGCCAGCCTAATCATCTTAAAACACCTTATGCTCACGTTCCACGGGATGCTGAAGCGCCTGAGTAGGTCAGAGACTTGACCAGGAAGGGAGTCCACGGAATTCCACCCGAATAGGTACTTGTCCTCTGGAAGCTTTGGGCAGTGATCCATCACCCTTATTTGAATACTTGAAGCCTCAGACACAGTGTACACACCATGCCTACAGGCGGAATGAAACATGTCACTTACCGTTATAACTGATGGGCAGAAAACTTACTGCATCTAATTTTGGGGTAGTGCTTACTGTGTCCCAATCACTCTAGTTCTTGTTTTTTTAAAACAGTTTGATTGATTTTTAGAGAGAGAGAAAGGGAGAGGGAGAAAGAGAAACATCGATTGGCTGCCCCCCCACCCCCAGCCAGCAACCTTGTTGCCCAGGACCAACGTCCAGCCCGCCGAGCCACAGGAGCTGGGCTCTAGCTCTTGATGTTTAGTTCGCCCTCAGACCAGCTCCTTGAGAGGTTACCGACCTCCCCTCAAAGCTTCCCGCGGACAAAGCAAAGCGCCAGTTCGTGGAGGCGGGATTCGAACCCGGCAGTCCAACGCACCCCTGCCATCTCCAAACCAGGCACCCTTAGGATTTGCTTCCAAAAGAAAAGGCGACAGAGAAAACCAGGCAGCGAGTCACCACTAACAAGACACGTCACAGTAACATCTTAGAGACAAGCCTTTGCGCTTGGTGGCGTGTAACCCCGAAAAGTTCCAGAAGTTAGCCTCTTTCTGTACCCAGGAGCCCAGAGGTGTCGGGAGGGAGATGATACCTACAAAATTTATTTTGGAAACTGATACTCGTGTCTATTACAAAAGAGAACAGCTACACAAACACTTGACCATGTTTGTGAACTGTGGTGACGCAGCCCTCCCCCGCCACACCTCCGGTGCCCCCACCTCCGCCCAGGTAAGCAGGGAACCTCCCTTTTGCCAAACATGGATTTTCTTGGGGTCCCACAGAAAGATCCCAAAGAGTCAGATCTGAACATGGCTCTGCATGTAGAGAATGCAGATGTTTATTTTGGGGGGTTTTTTTATTTGTTTTTTTCTTTATTGACTTTAGAGAGAGAGGAAGGGAGAGGGAGAGAGAGAAACATCAATGAGAGAAAATCAATTGGTCGCCTCCTGCATGCCCCCCACTGGGGATCAGGCCCACAACCTGGGCATGTGCCCTGACCGGGAATCGAACCGGCGACCTCTTGGTGCAGGGTCGACGCTCAACCACTGACCCACACCAGCCAGGCTATTTTTCATTTTCGTTTTTATTTTTTTCGTTATTGATTTGAGAGAGGAAGGGAGAGGGGGTGAGAGAGAGAAACATCGATGAGAGAACAGAGAACTCAGATGTTTCTAAGCCACCCAAGAGTGGCCTGTGAACCCCATGTCCCCGTCAAGCTCCTACTCCGAAGGACATTTTAACAAATTCTTGTTGACATTCCAGGGAGTGTGAACACGCATACATTTGTGTGTGATGGAACTAACGTCCAGGAAAGCGGACAGTGCGGCTGAGTTTCACACGTTTGCACGGCCAGGTGATCACCACGCAGGTCAAGCAAGACACAGAACGTAATCTTTTTAAATGATTTTATAAGTGGTCAAAAAAAATTTTTTTTTAATCGGTGGAGAGGGAGATTCTCAAAGCCCAACCGGCGGCCCGCGGAGGTCACCAAGATGAGCGCAGGGCCCCGGGGCCCGTGTCTAGAACGACACCTGACATCACTAAGCCCTCGGGCCCGGCAGCGGGAGGAAAACTCGCGCGGCTGATGGGTGCGTGGCTGACGGGTGCGCGGCTGATGGGTGCGCGGCTGACGGGTGCGCGGCTGATGGGTGCGCGGCTGACGGGTGCGTGGCTGACGGGTGCGCGGCTGACGGGTGCGCGGCTGACGGGTGCGTGGCTGAGGGGTGCGTGGCTGATGGGTGCGTGGCTGACGGGTGCGCGGCTGACGGGTGCGCGGCTGACGGGTGCATGGCTGACGGGTGCGTGGCTGATGGGTGCGCGGCTGACGGGTGCGCGGCTGACGGGTGCGCGGCTGACGGGTGCGCGGCTGACGGGTGCGTGGCTGATGGGTGCGTGGCTGATGGGTGCGCGGCTGCAGCTTCTGAGCTGACCGAGGCCTCCACCTGTCAGCCAGGTTGCCGTGGGGTCTGAACCCCGGGGAGCGTGTGTTCGGCCTAACGGGTCACGACCTGTGAAACTCAGGGATCTGGACGTTTCCCTGGAATGATGAAGACCACTCGTCCTGAACGCTGACCGGGAAGTGTGCCGAGTCCCTCAAAGTGAAGATTCTCGCGGGTC